CTGCCAAAGTTTTATGTTTTTGTTGAAAAAGGAGATTTAAAGATATTTGTTATGGAGACAAATACTAATCTTAAAGTATTATTATTGACAGAATAACAAGATGTTGTTTGAATACTACTCTTCAAGTATTGTTATTGACAGAATAACAAAATATTGTTTAAATACTACACTTCAAGTATTATCATTGACAGAATACAATGTGTCTAAATACTATTCTTCAAGTATTGTTATTGACAGAATAACAAGAGGGTGTTCTTTTTGCAAGTAGGGGGGGTTGGATGGCCGAATGGTTAGCATGTGCGCGCTGTATCATAAGGTCTGTCATTGAGTCAACTGGCGTGTTTTCGATTCCCCAGTTGTACGTGACAAGGAGTTGGGTCACCTGTCCAGTCTTATCAGTTTTCTCCAGGTCCTCCGATTTCCTCCCACTGCTAAAGATCCCTACGAGCAAGCGAATTATTGAACTAAAATTGAACCATGTGTTATTCCTGAAATGACCTAGTCTGTGTTAATCCCGGAATGACCTAGTTTGTGTTGATCCCAAAATGATCTGGTTTGTGTCGAGTGGGCGTTAAACCTCATTTCTCTCTCTCTCTTATTGCAAGTAGTGTGTTGTATTTTGATCAATTAAAGTTAATCTTTTGGGGCACATTGTAAATTTTATGTTGGTATTTTTGTTGGTGTACACAGTATGTGTTGGCTTTCGAATAAATTCTATTTGTGTAGTCACTGCATGCTCCTCTTGTATTACATCATAGCAAGATTTACTGTCTGAACCTTGAATTAAATAGCAGACCCCAGATGATTAGAAGGTTCATGCTAAAAATTTTGCAAGATTGAATAATGACAAAAAATATTACTTTTGTCTGAAAATACGTTATCTAGACTTATTGGAATCTTCGGATTCAAAATGATGGGAATTTACAAATTAACAACGACAAAGAACTCTTGTCAGTCTTCCGTTAATCAAACTCGGATATGTAAAACAGTTAGTTACTTTAATCTGGAAAAAGAATGTTGATTTCGTTTCTTGGTAATGAAACCTGCCAGGAATTAGTTGAATATTGTAATTAACAGTAAAGAAAGGAATGAAAGCCAGACAATAGATTTTACAGTGACGCGTTGAATTAAAGTAATCAAATTAATGATGCAATAAGTTTACTGGTAGAAATTAAATTTACTAGTGTAAACCAAGTTTACTAGTTAGTATAAAGCAAGGTTACTCATAGAAATGAAGTTTGATAGTATAAATCAAGTTGACTAGTATAAATCAAGTTTGCTCATTTCAATCAAGTTTGATAGTAAAAATGAAATTTACTAGTACAAATCAAGTTTCCTAGTATAAATCAAATTTGCTAGTACAAAGCAAGTTTACTAGTATCAATCAAATTTGCTAGTACAAATCGAGTTCACTAGTATAAATCAAATTTGCTAGTATAAATCAAGTTTGCAAGTACAAAGCAAGTTTACTAGTATAAATCATTTTTGCTATTATTACTATAAATCAGATTTGTTGGTACAAATCATTCTCACTCCTTCCCTTACCTTGGATCGGTACAGAGCTTGCCCCACCATCACTAATCGAAATAACACATTAGATCAAACCAATCCAATATTTAAAATTTCCGTAGGTCAAAAACGTGAGACTTTAGACCCCATTTCATTTTAAAATATTACCATCTCCTTTTAAGAAATTTTATTCTTTATAAATGAATGGAAGATTGGGGAACAGGCCAAATTCGTCTATATTCATATAGATATTCTTAGATAAATTAAAAGGCTTAGCTTCTTTAAATTCATAGATATTCCGAAATATATCAAGGAACATTAAATTCATACATACACTGAAATAAATCCAAGAGGTTAACTCCTCTAAATTCAAAGATCAGAAAGGTTAAGCTCCTTTAAATTCATTGATACTCTGAAATAAATCAAGGAACTTTAAATTTATGGATACTCGGAGAGGTTTAGCTGCTTTAGAGTCATAGCTACTCTGAAATTAATAAGAAAAAAAAAAAAAGTTTAGGTCGTTTAAATTCATAGATTTTCTTAAATAAATCCCAAGAGGTTTTGCTTCTTTAAATTCAAAGATACTCTGAAAAAAAATCAAAGAGCTTTAAATTCATAGATACTCTGAAATAAATCAGAGAAGTTCATTTCCTTTAAATTTTGTTCTTTTAAAGACATCCGTCCTAAAAATTAGCAGGATAATGACCAGATATCTAGCTAACGCATGAGGTAACCATGTCTTAACGAGGAGATATTAGGGTAATGTGAAACTGTGAATCGTTGGAGAGTAAATGATGCTTTAAGAAAAAAATAGATACTCTGAAATAAATCAGAGAAGTTCATTTCCTTTAAATTTTGTTCTTTTAAAGACATCCGTCCTAAAAATTAGCAGGATAATGACCAGATATCTAGCTAACGCATGAGGTAACCATGTCTTAACGAGGAGATATTAGGGTAATGTGAAACTGTGAATCGTTGGAGAGTAAATGATGCTTTAAGAAAGAAATGAAGTTAATTCACAAAGACGTAATATGAGAGGTTGTTGTAATTACCTGGGTGCTGAGGTGTAACGTGAAATGCTTTGTCTGAGCACCTCAGGTGGTAAAAATAGTTTTTATAACTTTGATCTGAGTGAGTTATACATTGTGAATTGTGTTTGAGTTGTCAGCCGTAAATATCTGAGATGCTACATGATGATAGTACCTTGGTGTATGCATATTAGGCACATGGTGGCTATTGAAGGATCATTCTGCACACAGAAATATATATCTACTTCATACTTGGAGAATAGATCTCTGTCCTGAATGGCCGCCATAACCAAAAATTGGAATACAGTTTTGTAATGCGGTTTTACTCAGATTTACATCTGTCATACATACAAAAACCAAATTACAAAGACCAAATAAACCTCTCTCTCTCTCTCTCTCTATCATTCTCTCTCTTTCTCTCTCGCTCATCAAGACCTTATGTTATATTGTACACAAACTATTGAGGTGTCTATGTAATAAATATTTCACACTTGATAGTTGGAGAGTTAATGAGATGTTAAACCTCGTTCCATGCCAGCAAACACTGCATCAACTTGTTCATGAAACTTTAAGGGTATGATAAATCTTCCACACTACATAGGTAAGATGCATAAGGGTTAATCGATCCAGTGTGTCTGTCAGATGGGGGGGGGGAGAGAAGAGCGGACTAAGAGTCCAGGGGCCTGTTTCACGAAATTTTAACTAAAGATAAAATCTGAATTTTAGCAGATACTTCAATTTTGATTGGCTAAGCACTAAAATCAATCTAATATTATCCAATCAAATTACTAAAATTTGGATTTTATCTTAGTTAAAATTTCGTGAAACAAGCCCCAGGTCCCAACTTAAAAATATTCCAAGCAAAAACTTTGAGGTGATATGGTACTTTTATTAGTAGAGGTCCACACTTTGTAGCTTCAGTTTTATCAGGCCTAGGGTGAATGATCCTCTGTATGTGACAGGTTCTCTATCGGAAAATATTCTAGTATAAGTATAAGCTTTCAGGTGATATGGTACTTTCATTAGTAATAGCGAAATATTTACTAACAATCTGTTAGTTAGAATGGCAAATAACCCCTTTTCATATGAGTTTTGATGGTATGGAGGGCCAAAAAGTTCTGATGAGTTTGGCACTGGCAGGTATGGGAGAGCACAACGTTCCATGAATCTGTACATGCTTCAATGATAGGGCAGCCAAGATAATTTATTTTTTTATGTGCCGAAGCAAGACAAGTTTGAGTCCCCTCCCCTCCCCTCCCCTCCCCTCCCAGAGTAGAGCATCAGGAATTGGATCGGGGGCTGTGTGGCACGAATACTGAACATGCCAATATAAAAAAAATAACTAGATATTTATGGGTTTCATGGGCTTCAGTGCAATATCTGCTGCACCTGCACGAATACCGGACATGCATGCACATGAGAAAACTTAACTAGATATTTATGGGCACCAGTGCGATATACCTGCTGCACCCCTCTCTCTCTCTCATTGGGCCTGTTCATAGATCAACCATTGAACCATTTAAGGAGAAAATGTAATATTAGTAGATATATCACGCTTTGTAGTTATGTGTTGTTAATTATCATAATATACAGTTTCATGATATAATTACTGAAGTTATGATTGCTTGCACAGCTTCTACGAATACTTTGTTTTCTAAACAAAATGATATGACCGAACTGAACTTGTGTTAAGATTTACACAGTTTTTTAACATATGGCAGACATGTTAGCACTTGGTACATGTACACTAGTTACTTGAATAAAATTAGAAAAAAGTGATGTTTTTTACTCTCAGTTTTGTGGTGTATTTTCACAAGACATCTTGAAACTTCTGCTCTATAACTAGACTGCCTTGTATATATATATGTACGTTCCTTTTAAATTGGAATAGGTAAGACTAAATAAAAAGCTAATAGGTCTCGCTATAATAGTTAAGAAATAGATAATGAAAACAGTATAATATGCTGAAAATTTTAATCAGATTGCTTCACTCTGAACTGAGACATTAGTGATTCCGTTTTAGGCTAGCCTTGATTGTCATTACTGACATTGATACGGTAATAAACAGTCTTGATTATCCATTTTTACGTTAAATTATCCATTAATTGACAGATCAGGGCACTGCCGTCCACAAAATCAACAAAATAATGGCTAAATATATAGCTAAAGCATGTCGTGAACCATGAATCGTTGGAGAGAATAAGTGATGTATGCAATTAATAATAGTGATAATAATATTTGTATCACGCAATTATTCAATCCACTAGGGAAGACGCTATAAAATATTCTCACTTTGGATTGTTAATGATAGTGACTAAATAACCAAGTTTTCACATTGGATTTAAAGACTGAAACAGAATCACGTGGGATATTTTCTGGAAGTGTATTCCACACAATTGATGCACGGTAGCCTAGGCTACCAGTATGGCCTTTTTTAATGTATTGTTTATTTGTATATTACAGGCTATTTACAGTATGTTAGGAGCTGCATTAGTGGGACAAAGTATGGATACTCCTAGCGAAAGAACTGTTAAGATATTTGAAAAAATGGATTCCAATGGAGACGGTGTCTTAACGAAGGAAGAATTTATACAAGGGTGTTTGAATGACCAATGTTTATATCAAATGTTGACAGCAGACGCATCGAAAGAATAGGATTAACGACAGGGAAATTAGCAGATCATCCATGTTTTTTAAAAATTGAATTATCGAAATGTTTCTTGTATAAATGGTTAACAAATAAGCCTTGTGTTTGCAGTACGGTATTTGGAAATACCGGTACATGAGATTTCAATTCTTGTGTAAAGGGAAGCAACTCTAGTTTTGGATTCAGGTTCGAAGGGAAGTAACTCCAGTTTTTGTTTCAAGATTACTTACCAGTGTATCTCTGAATTTTAATTGTGTTCATTCATATTATTCATTGCTGTTAAAAGAGCAGTGTACGTTTTATCTAAAATATTTTTTTTTTAAATTTTGGAACAGATTTAAATATTTTTGAATCTGATAAGGCAGATTACCAAGGTTTCCCGAGATGTTTTTGTGTTTGGGATTACAGTATTTAACATCAAAAGAAGGGGATCAACTGGATTATAGAATAAAAAAACTGTTATTTAATGGGATTCATCAAGACTTACGCCAATAAAAAATAATAACTTCTAGTTACAATAAATTTCAAGGGAGACAAATCTTGCAGGAATGTTAATGTTTTAAAGTGATCCAAGGAAAGAGAGATATTCCAGCTTTGCAAAAAAACATCCAGGATTGAAACCTTCCAATGTGATGGAGGTTGTTTTTTGTTTTTTTACATCCAAGGAAAGATAAAATGTTCCAACATCAGAGTTTTCCTGAAAAACCATCGAACCAGATGTAAATCTGGGTGCAAATGTATTTATAAGATGCTACCATCCGTATTCCATGGAAAAAGTTTTTGGGTGATTTTAATTGGAGATATATTTCTAAAAGTGTTTGAATTTATGTGGAGATTTTAATAGGAAACATAATTTTTGAACATAGTTGTTTTAGATGCGGAGTATAACTTTGGATGTATAAGAAAAAAATGTAACGGCTTTTATAAACTTTTCTGGGGTTTTTTTTGTTTTTTTTTTTTCAGTTGAGCAATATTTGTATTTTAATTCATTTTTGAAAAACTTGACCAGCACATGACAATGTTTCTACACGTATGATGTTATTAGATGCCACAAAAAATTCTGCTTTTGAATGAAGATCTCTTTTCAAAACCCAGTAAAACACAATGCAGATCTTTTTTATGTTCTGTACAGAAATTTAAAGATGCATTATGTAAGAGCTAAATCTGCCTTTTGCAAATCTTTCTTTTGGCCTCAAATGTTATATAAATTATTACTTAAACATATTTTCACATGACAAGTGCATAATCAACAGCGCCCTAGACTATCGAATGGTTGAAACACGGTCGCCATTTAATTTAAAAATGGATAATCAAGACTTTGTTTATTATCGTAACAACGGTAGCAATAAAAATCAAAACTACCACATTTTTTGAAACAGTCATAACTTTGCTCAAAATGAAGTAATTTTATTGAAATTTTCAATATATTCCTTTTTGTTATCTATTTTAAACTATTATAGTGGGAATTGTCAGCTCTTTATCTAAATCTTACATAATGCATCTTTAATAATATGTAACAATATTTGTAAAGGAACAAGTGAATATTGTTTTAAAATAATGAATAATATGATTTTATAGAAAAAATTGCCAATTTACCGCACCATAATCAATCCTATGGTTTGTTTTGGTTTTAGAAAAGCATTTTTTAAACACAGATTCTTCTATTTTCAATTAAATTGTGTAGAAATTTTATCGGTTATTTTAAGTTTGTAAATAATCACTTTATAAAAGTCTTTTTCAATGATATATAAAAGGCATGCTTGATTTGAAAGTTGGTAGTTTATTTTGTGTATATGAATCCTGAAGTTGATAAGGCTTTTTATTTTTAACTTTTTCAATTAGCATAATATTTGAACTTTATGGTTATTCACAAGTGTATTAATACCAAATATGGTGTTCTGTAGTTTCTTTTTTATTTAACTTGGGGTAGAATGTAATGAACAGTTTAGCATACAGAACTTCTTTGAACCAAGAACTGGTTCCATACACTTATGAGTATTGTTCTTGGAACGAAACTCTTCAAGTACTTGTTCCATGCACTTGGGAATCTTGTTCTCAGGGCGATACTCTTCAAGAGCCTATGGCTCTGCCAATTCGAGCGCAATTCACATGGAACATAGCATAGTTTTTCTTTGGACAGCTTTGCATTGAATGACGAACATAAATGTTTTATATGGCGAAATAACAATTCCAAGATGGCTGGTTCCTGGTTCATTGTACTGTGCTTATTAAGGATGTGAAAGTCACAAATATTTAATCGAAAATGAACAAGTGTGTCTTTATTGAATTAACAGAAGACTTTTAATTATTGCCAGTTAGTTATAAATGTGCATCAACAGCCAAAAACATTTTGTCACAAGGTTAAAAACTAGGGCTTTTGTTTGAGACTTATTTACCAGTCAGTCTGGCTGGAAAACTTACCTCTCGGGTCAATTTACAAACATTGAATTTAGATTTTTGATAGAATTTGATTTTAAAATATAATAAATAACGTTAAAATTATACTTTGTATGTGTGAAAAAATTAAAATATATGAAAAGATTGGGATTATGGTAAAAAAAAAAATTGTCATATTCTTGCTAATCCGAGGTAAATTAAATACATGGAAAATTCACAGCTCTAACAATATTTTAACGTGGTAGCCGTCGTATATACACATCTGAAGTTATAGCCCTCATTATACACATCTGAAGTGCAAAAATGTCATACTTGTGCGGAATATGTCACCTGGTCACCAGGTGTATTGAATGACCTACAACTAATCTCTTAAGCCGCAATGAGCGGGATACTGCTTTTTTTTTTCCTTTAAAAATTTGAGGCCTTTATAGCCATTCGAAATCTTGTAATAATGATGTTTTTGCTGATTATTGTTGTGTATGTACATATATATATATGCTGTTTGCAAGCAGGTTATAAATATATATCCACATATAACTAAATATATTTAATATATTACTATATATATACATGTTTATATGCGTTGTTTGATCAAATAAACAACCAGATGTTTCTTATTTTGCAAAGTTTAATATCCTACATACTGTGTAATATGTAGAATTAAAAACGGATCATCATCTGATCCCATATTGTACATTTTTTTTTATCTTTTAGCATTTTATTCAATTTCACGAACATTAGTTTGATATTTACCACACAAATCTCAAACTTTTGCATATTTAAATCGCCATAGAGATTTTGCATCTTCAGCACAATTCAGCCATTCACAAATAGCTGCTTTGCCAATCTGCAGGACATATACATGTATTTGGCTTGTCTTCGGGTAGATTTTGCTAAAATTTTGTCTGAATCTTGCATAGTTGTTAATTGCCATAGCGATCAATATACACACATGCACGTTGTAAATGATACCAAGTTCTCATACGTGTGTGTTTTGTTTGAATATGATGAAACTTAAACATTAAATAGGTTAGACTGAGTATATCTGTGACAGGGACAAAGCCCAGCCTAACCGGAGCGGGGCCCTGGGCCTGACTAGAATCGTGGAGCTCCTAACGCAACAAAAAGATTATTTCATATCCTTTTGAATGGCACGCATGTAATACAAGAATAATTACATAATATCTGATCACACCCGAAATCTATTCAGTTCCGAATGGCATACAATGTGCGGAAATGACATATAACGGCAGGGAACTGTTGTAACAAGTCAAATTGAATGGAACTTCACAGAGAAGGTTGCGGAATACTTCAGTCTCTGCCATCGCGCCGCTAGATCGATTACCATGAACCTTTCATCTGGAATTTGATTTTTTTTCTGTTTTTTGGCATGAACCCCGGGGCCCTGGGCCATGGCCCCTCAGGCCTAAGCTGGGCTTTGGACAGGGACATCTACTTGACTCGTCTTCAGGTAGATTTGCTCAAATTTCGCCTGAATCTTGCATAGTTAAAATTGCTATACTGATCTGTCTGAATATAATGAAACTGAATATATCAATGAGAGGGATACCATGGCTCATGTTTCAATAGATTTGCCCGGTCTTGACTGGCTGAGTGTGAAATTGACTGGTTAAGGAACTCCGCTGTCAGTCAATTTAATTGCCATTAAATTAGCATTTCAAGAGTTGATCCTCAAAGTACATTAAAAACGGTTAAATTTGTAGTTCTTGTGTAAAACTACTTAGGGTAATGCTAATATCATAATTTTTTCTTAATATATCTTGCTAATCTGAAGTAAACAAAATACGTTTAAAATTAACAAGACCGACAAGATTTAAAACTGATATCTCGTTGTTATACATATCAATAAATAATATTTGAAATTTGTCTGTCAGTCAATATGTAAATATCATAAGTGTTATATATAACATTTGTTAAGCAGGCCGTGTAGGCTTTTTGTTTTCAAATATTATATTAATATTTTTTTGATTTTATCCCTTTTCTTTAAAAAAAAATAAAAAAAGATAGGCCTATAGTAATAATAGTTTGATCCACTAGTTTTGGGAGGGGGGGGGGCGCATTTCACATTTTAATAAGAGTTCTCATCTCAACCCTAGCTCTCATTTCCTAAATAACTAAAACAAACAATAAATAATCTTAGTTGTACAGTTTTGTCATTTCTTAAAGTCTGTGATTGACTGTACGCTGGATCCCGTTTTTCGTCCCAACTTGTTTGAGCACCTTTCAGTTGGAAATATAAGATCAATGTCTTAAGATGTTCAGAAAACTATTAGATTGACAAAAGTGCTTTAAAATTATGACAAAAAGATAGTTTTTTTGCCAGAAAAATGGAATCCTTGAAGAAAGCTTTCTGTGTGCAGGCTTGTGGCATTTTATTAGATGTTTTGGTGTGCACAAAAGTCAATATTTGTGGACATTTTGTGCACTGAAGGCAACATTTTGTTGTGCTTTCAAGTCTTTTGACAACATTTTGTTGTGTACTTACCAGTGTTTGAAGACATTTGTTGTGCACTGAAGACAATGTTTTGTTGTGCATTTGTTGCCATTTTGTTGTGCTCGGAACTCAAAGTTTTATCCTGAAAGACAAGTTGTTGTCCACTACAGACAATGTTTTGTTGTACACTGAAGTAGACATTTGTTAACATTTTGTTGTGCTCGGAACTCACAATGTTTTATCCTGAAAGACATGCTGTTGTCCACTAAAGGCAATGTTTTGTTGTACACTGAAGTAGACATTTGTTAACATTTTGTTGTGCTCGGAACTCAATTTATTTTCTTGTATAGAAGTGGCCATGTTAGAGATAAACATGTTTTTGTTGAAGTTGAGTGATTAGTGATGTGTTTATAATTGAATCATAAAGTCATCAATACAAGTTATATCAGGGTTATATGTTTAATATTTATCCTCTTGACATATTTATTTCTCGTTGTCTGAATTCTCTGTGGAATGTTTCTTGCTCCATTAGTCAGCAAGAGGAGAAGCTCATAAAACATACATTATGCAAGAGCTAAATCTGCCTATTGCAGGTCTTTCTTTAGGCCTGAAATGTTATCTAAATTATTAATTAGACATTAATTAATTTTTCCAGGCCATAATCAACTCTCGATGGCATCGGATTTCTCCGTTATTAAATAGATTAGAAAGGTTCAGCCATATTTTGATTTAAGCTAAAAATGGAGAACTGAGACTTAGCTTCAAACAACCAGTACGGTGGTTGAAATTATTGCACACGTCTTGTCAAACCTTCAAAGGCTAATATGTTCGCTCACAATAGAATAATTTGAATGAAACTTTCAAATTATTCATTTTACATTATCTATTTTTGAACTATTATAGCAAGAATGGCTAGCTCTTTGTCTAAATCTTACATAATGTATCTTTAAGGGTTGAGATGAAATGGGGTTTAATATCCTGCTTTTCTGTGCTAGATGGGATAATGAAGATGGACCTAAGTCATGCAGTGTGCTGCAATGGAAATTTTGCCTGGACATCGATTTCCACTGCCAAGGGATCTTTTATGTGGTCTAATGCAGTATGTCATTAAGACAAGTGGCTTGATTTCGATACCAAGCTTGTGCATGACAAGGAGTAGAGTTGCCAGCCAACCTAGTGGGATTTCACCAGTTTTTTCCACTGCTAAGGGCTCCTACACTTAAGCGAATTATTGAAATAAAAGTGTACCATATGTATCTAGTATGTGCTGATTGGATGTTAAACCCCATTTCTCTGTCTCTCCCATTCAAATAGTCCAATTCCCTTCATTACTATTTCCAGTACTGACTTCAAAGCACACCTATTACTTACATATTCCTCTCTAGCCATTGCTCTACTTAGAGAGAAAAGCTGGGTTTTTGATGGAGTGTGTCTATTTCTCTCTTGAGTACCATTGTTGGAAGTTGTTATATCCAGTTTGTTGAAACAAAATGTGTAACATGACAGTCTGTCTCTTTGATCTGGGGTCTTCCCTAAAATGTCGACTGTTGATTAAATGTATGAAAGATTGTGAAAATATTGTTTGTCAGCTGCATGATCCAGCTTGGCAGTTTTTATATGTCACTTGTCAAGCTACGGGGGATGTCAATCCCTATATTTGATGTTTCGGTGAATGTAATTTGTTGTCTTATAATGTTTTTCGTTAAGTTTTATTCCTAATGTTTATTGTCATTCCAATTGTTTTTATGGTCAACTCATCCTTTATTCGGGTTTTATTTGTTTTGTGCAAACTCTGAAGGGAGAGGGGTGGTCAATCAGCATATCCCAGTAGACAGAAACACTGCTTTTAGGCAAGTCTCCGCTGTAGCATTGCTCGACTGACGGGGGGTTGGGGAAGGGGAAGGGAAACCACACTGAAAAACCCTAAGGAACTATCGCGTCCAACACAGGGATTGAACACAGGGTCTTACTTACTGAGCCACAGTGGCTCCAAAAATAGGTGTAAAGATAGTAATTATTGCAAATTAAGTAGAATAAGCATTTGAAATCTTGTTTTCTTATTAGGGGTTGAATGGTTAGTGCGTGCGCACTGCATCATAAGGTCTGTCATTGAGTAAACTAGGGTGGTTTCGATTCCCAGGTTATAGGGTCGCCTGTTCAACCTCGTGGATTTTCTCCGGGTCCTCCAGTTTTCTCCCACTGCTAAAGACCCCTATATGTTAGTCCCGAAATGACCTAGTTTGCAGCGAGTGGACATTAAACCCCATTTCTCCTCTCTCTATTCTTATTCTTGATGTGATTCAAACTCTCTGGGCTTACGAAGACTATGAGTAAAATGTTGCTAGGACAGCAGCACTACGGCCTACTCTTATATCACATTCTGTACAGGAACCAGATAACCCCCCATATCATGGTAAAATAAAATAACATGTTTAATTTGACAGCAAGTATATCATGTTCAAACATATATAAAATATTCATAGATCCACTTTCACATAATTAAAATGAAAGGAAATGGGGTTTAAAGATGCCTTATTCAAGAACTGGAAATCCACCAACTGACTGCCATCTTTATATTGTCAGTTGATTGAAACTAAACCAGGAGATTATCTAGCAGTGGGTAGGGGGGGAATGGTTTAATGGTTAGCGCATGTGTATTGTATCATAAGGTCTGTGATTGAGTCAGCTGGCATGGTTTTGATTCCCCGATTGTAGGGTCGCCTGTGCAACCTTGTGGGTTTTCCACGGGTCTTCCGGTTTCCTCCTGCTAAAGACCCCTACTTGCAAGCAAATTATAGAAATAAAATTGAACCATGTGTTAGTCCAGAAATGACCTGGTTTGTGTCGAGTCGACGTTAAACCCCATTTCTCACTCTCTCTATCTAACATTGATAGCATGGATTTTAGCGTGGATTCATGAGTCGTGAGAAATTTGATGTTTTCAGAAAAGTGCAAATCATGCTTAGTTACTTTAACAGTATGAAATTGTATATTGAAATCCTGAAATATTGATTACATGGCTCAGTCTGATTTGTCTTCAGTTTTCAAGTGTTCTCATCGTTTATCTTAATTAAAATAATAAAATGTCAAATGTTAACATCTATATAGTGACAGAAGCAAATGTTACATCTATCTGGAAAAGAACCAAATGTTAGTATCTATATAGAAAAGAACCAAATGTAAGATCTATAGGACAAAAGCAAATGTTACATCTATAGGACAGAAGCAAATGTTACATCTATAGGACAGAAGCAAATGTTACATCTATAGGACAGATGCAAATGTTACATCTATAGGACAGAAGCAAATGTTCAAGCCTGGAAATAAGGCACCTGTCACAGATAATGTCAGGCACAGATTCAGGCTTTGTCAGGCACTAAACCTCTGGTGCCTGTCATTTTGTCCAGCATCGATCTGTCTTTTTTTATTGATATTATTAACACATGTCCGGCACTAAGATGAAAATGTCAGAGGTACTATTTCGTTAGTCCTTGACATTTTTTCAGGTACATCTATATCCGTTATTTCCAGGCCTGCAAATGTTAGTATCTAGGACAGAAGGAAATGTTATAACTATATAGAACAGAATCGAAGCCATGTTAGTATTTAGGACAGCCTTGTAAAGCCTTGTCAATTCTGTATAGATCATTATAGACATGGACATCATTATTTAATTCTAACTATTATGGGAATCTACACCTCTTTGATTGAAAGGAGATAAACCACTTTGATTTAAAGGAGCTTAAACTCAGATTTGAAGAGGGCTAAACCTCTTTGATTTAAAGGAGGCAAACCACTTTGATTTAAAGGAGCTAAACCTCTTTGATTTAAAGGAGGCAAACCACTTTGATTTAAAGGAGCATAACCTCTGATTTAAAGGAGCTAAACGTCTTTGATTTAATAGAACCTGCTAAATGAGGCTCTTATTGCAACACTTAATCATGAAGTATATGACTTCAGAGTGAGACTCTTACAATCCTTAATCATGAAAGTAAATGACTTTAGAGTGAGACTCTTGCAATCCTTAATCATGAAGTAAATGACTTTAGCTAAAGGAAATGTGGTTCTTATGAAAACCCTTAATCTTAAAGTATATGACTTAAGCTAAGTGAGGTTCTTACAAACCGTAATCATGAAGTAAATTAAAGTAAATGCTCTTATGACATCCCTTAATCAAGAATTAAATGACTTAAGCTAAATGTGGTTCTTATTACAAACCTTAATGTTTCTGTGAATGATGTTTTTTGTGCAAAAATTTATGTTAAAAAAATTGCATCTTTGAAAGGGACCGAAGTTTATCCCCTTATTAATTATCGTGTTTTACCACATCAATTGTTTTGAGAAGATTTTATATAAAAATAATAATAACTTATAAATTTACAAAAATATGATAAATCTTGTAGTAGATTAGTGTAAAATATATGGTAGATATTTAGTCACAATAAACTTGTAATATTATCAGATACTCTTATTATGTAGAATGCTGACAGATAGAATTTAAATAAAATATGAATAAACTTTTGAAAAAAATATATTCTAGTGTTAAACTTATTTATACTTGTTCTACACACACACACACAGAAAGAAGAGAGAGAGAGATGCTGTTTAATGTCCACTGGACACAAACTAGGTCATGTCCGGACTAACACCTGGTTCAATTGTATTTCAATAATTTGCTTGCACCTAGGGGTCTTTAGCAGTGGGAGGAAACAGGAGGACCTGGAGAAAACCCACAAGGTTGGATAGGCAACCCTACTCCTTGTCAGGTATAACCAGGGAATCGAAAACACGCCTGTTGACTCGGTGACAGACCTTATGATACAGCGCGCACATGCTAACCTTTTGGCCATCCAACCCCCCACTTGTTCTACAAACTTGAAGTTTGAAAACAATGAATGGGTTCGGTGCACTTTAGATCATAAGGTCTGTTATTGAGTCAACTGTTGTTGTTTCGATTCCCAGAAGAGTAGTGTCACCTGTCCAACTTCGTTTCTTTTCTCTATTTCCTCCACCACTGCTAAAAAACAAAACCTACATGCAATTTACCATATTATGTTAGTCCCACAATGACCTAGTTTGTATTGAGTGGATGTTATGCCTATTTCTCTTTCTCTGTTTCTCTCACTCTCTCTCTCTCTCTTGTAAGAATGGAGGTGTGTCATTTTGGGATTCTGGGGCACAGCAGTACATATGAATTTTTATAGGTCCACATGAAAATTGTATATTGTCATCTACAATTTCTTGTGAACACTCTACAGGCTAAATTTATCATCTGATTGTTTTGAAATTGTTATACAGTAAACTTCGCATAAGTTGGATTTGTATAAGTCGGATCTTTGTTCAACTCGGATAAAATCCTTTAGACCCTTTGATTATTATTATTTCTGTGCGTAAGTTGGATCTTTGCTCAACTCGGATCAAAATGTTTGGTCCATTTGATCTAATTCCGGCTTGTTTCCTTCGCCTAAGTCGGATCGGCAGTATAATCACAACATGTTGTTAAAAATACATCCCTCTCCACCAAACGGCCTGGCTTACGCCATTAAAATCCAAATACAGGGCAGCGCACATTTTGCGCAACTCGGCCATATAAGACGAAACGAAATTGGAATTTTTATAAAAAATTTGATTGTAATTGGTCTAGGCAAAGCAATAATTGACTGAAGTTTCTCAGCTTTTCAACGATTCTAATTTTTCCCCACCCGAGCGTACCTAAATTTCGCTTCGTCTTATATGGCCGAATCATGTAAATCGGTACGCCACCCCACATCTTGACCTCAGTGGCGTCCGCCAAAGTCGTTTAGCAGGGATGCATTTTTAACATCATGTTGTGTTGCACATACTGACTCTAGCGAGGTAAGCAGGGTCTTATGTTCTCACTAAAATGTTCCTTTACATTGTTCAGGCATTCACAGAGACTGACACACGACCGTTTAGCAGTAAAAGTTGCCCAATAAATTTGACTGGGAACCAATAGGACGGTTCCTGAACGTACAGGTCGATAATGAGACCTATGTTCAGAGTTGAACTAGGTCTTCTGCTAACTCGGATCTTCACGTAACTCGGATAAAATTGGTCAGTCCTTTTAGATCTGACTTATGCAAAGTTTACTGTATGTTGTTTACATTCGTGAGATGAAGAAACCTATTTAATTTCAATAATTTCTGTTAATTTATTCTGGAGTTATGGCCCTTGTTTCTCTTTGTTGCAATGCTTGTAAATGCTTTAACGACAAAAGTTATCATTCAATCTGTATGAAATTTAGCATAAATATGGTAGCCTATACCGTATTTACACACAAAATTTAATGAGCAGGTTGAAACATAGATCTATATAGCCACAAGGACTTGCTAAAGAATGTTGGCCTATGTTGTTGTTTAATACAATTTATATATATTTATATATTATATTATGGTCAGGTTAAACATGCATTATGCAAGAGCAAAATCTGCTTATTACATAGTCTTTCTTTAGGCCTGAAATGTTATCTAAATTATCAATTAGACATTTATTAACTTATCCAGACCATAATAAACTCTCAATGGCATCGCTAGCCTGCGATATTTACTGGATTATGATCCTATTTGCTGCTCGACTTCCATTCATAATTAGACATTAATTAACTTATCCAGACCATAATTAACTCCTGATGTCAAGGCTAGCCTTCGATGTTGGCTGGATTGGATTCCTATATGCCGCTAACAGCCGTTGATAATTAAATCAAAAAAAGTGGATAATCGAGACTATGCTGTTCATATTAATGATTTTAGTAATGATGACCGAGACTATGCAAAAATTTCACCCACTTCTTTCTTGGCTCATGGTGGATCAATTTGACTGAAATTTTCAGCAAATTACCGTTACACTATCTAGTTTTTAACTATTATAGCGACAACTGCCATTTCTTTATCTTATCTCCCATAATGTATCTTTAATTTTAATTCAGATTCTTTGAAGAAGACATAAAAAAAGATAAAATCAGAAAAAGATTCTTGTTGGTCTAATTACCATGCATGTTTTTATAGTTCCAAGTACAATTGGGAGCTATTCATTTACCCTTGCAAACTCGTTTTTTTCTCTTTCAAGCGTATGCCTTCTTGTAAATGATTTTTACAACACAAGAACACTAAATTAAACTATAAAACATCAGTGCTGTCTCAAAAAGTAACCAAATAGCAATATGTCGAATCACTGACTGCCATTGATAATCAGTCTACCTTTACTCTTGATATAGTTGGCTTTATTTAAATTTATATTAATAAGAAAATCACTGTAAATTTATATTAATAAGAAAATCACTGATTCCTTTCAAA